GGGAGTATCTGCTTAAAATCTTTTACTGATTCTGGTAAGCCATCCAAAAGCTTGGAGACCACTGAGCATTAAGGCATAAGGGGCTGCAAGAAAAAATTCCACCGTACCCAGAATTCGAGAACGTCAGATCTACAATTCTGTCTTGCTCCAAGGAAACAAAGGGGTTAGCATGAAGGAATGTTGTGACAGAGGGACAGCCAGCGCCTTACAGCCTTCCCGCGGGAGCCAGGAGAGTACGCTCATTTGGTTGAAGCACTACCTCTCAGAATGTTTTGGAAATATTTGGAATGTAGTGGGAGGCCCAAGAGACCACCCAGTGGTAAAAACCCAAATGAAAGCCTTCCAAAAACAACAGAGGGCAAAATGAGGGTCGGCCCCTCCCCAACTCCACCTCTTGGCCCGGGCTGGGCGGGAGGGGTTCGCCCATCTTGTTCAACTTTGCTTGCATTTTACACGCATTCCTGAGTGTCACAGAGGGTTTGAGCCTTGGAAATCAATGTTATCACAGTGTGTAATATTTGGAGGTGACAGAAAACACTCTAGTCACGTCAGAGAGAGGCCTCGTTTAGACTAGGCTAGGGGAAATGCCCCTGGAGCTCAACGCAGCAGGCCTGCTCTCGAAGGCCACCAGCAAAACAAGAACCCAGCTCCACGCAGAGCTCTGGACGATACGCCTGTTTATGGCCTGGCCTTTCAGGCAAAGGGCTATGAAAACACATTGGTGGAGTGGAGGCGTCACTATGCAATTTTGAAATCAAAGCTGCTTCCAGGTTGTTTTCTGTTATTGTGTTTTCAGGATTCCTCGCTGATTAAAATTAAAATCTGGTTACAAAACAAGGGACCTGGAGAGATGATCAGTTTTCCGCGTCTGCACAAATGCATCCTGCTGCGTCCAGCTTTTCTCCTTTAAGGCAGGGTGAGTCCAGATAACCTTCTCAGTGCAGGATGCACCAAAGCAGTTTCATCTCCCTACAGAAGCCTCTAGAGATTATCCGAATGCTTGAAGAAGCCAGCGTTCTTTGCAATTATCTAAAAGGAGCTGTTGAGTGATATTAACAAGATATCCTTTCTGCTATCCACATTCAGAGTTATATCCTTGCAGGATAAATACTGGTGATTTGATGTTGTCTTGTTTTCAATGTCCATTAAATGGTGGTCCTATTAAAGATTAATGGCATTTTGAAATCCAGGTGAGGTGAACCCATCCCTGAGTTTTGCTAAACTCCGTTATTCAGCCTTCTGCTCAGCTCACAGGGGACCTCCTAAATCCAAGAACCTCCAGCTGAATGGAAGCACAGACTGCTCTGCTCAAGCCACATGTGGTGGAGCCAATGCTGGCAGATGCTGCCAGACTGTGACCTCCAAACTGGGTTTTCCTTCTTTTCACTCCTGCTAAGAAGAAGAAGGCTGCATGGTCCCAAATCATTTTTCCAAAAGATCTTCCAAATGTTACCTGGGGCATCCAAACACCATCTTACTGAGAGGCATTTGTCATTTACTCCACACACCACGCTCCAGAGAACCAGACTTTGCACGGTAGAGAACGAAGCACACACTTTAATCCATCCAGCTTTTTGAAAAATGAAGGTGAGACCTTGATTTACTTGGTTTGCCTACCCTGCTCTAGAATGCCAACAGATTATTGGGCCTTGGGGCAGCCTTGTCCAGCATGTTTTGTGGCCGGGGCCATTCCCACCTTGGCTAGAGAGCTAAGAGTGGAATTTTAACTATGAATTTCCTTGTGTTTAATATTCTAAAGTCAAAAGGCCACATTCGGTTCAGATATGCATGAACAACTTCCACTGGAGGCACTCCTGTATCTGAGTGCAGTTAAAATACTCCAACACTTGGGCACTGATAAATAACTTTCTTCTTTTTAAAAAAAATCTTTTTAATGTGCATGTGGGAGGGTGAAACAGCATGTGCAAATTAATTAAAAATTTACTCAGTTTGAGGAAATGTTTGATTTTTTAAGGGAACAAAGTCATCTGGACAGTCCTGCTCATCAACTCCATCTTTGTACATACCAACCACCTAGCCGCTCCAAGCTTGCCTTGCAGGCCTCATTAGCCTAGACCCATCCGGTTATTTAAGTCACAGCTGTGGTAGGGTGGCACGCACAACAGGCCTGGACTCAGAAGAAGCTAGATCAAGTTCCAGCTCTGATAATAGTTGTACCAACTTGGGCAAGTCAATTAATATCTTTCCCAGTATCTATTCATCTGTAAGCTATCGACTTTGCAAGGTTATTGTGTGAATTCAATAGATAATGGGTGTTAAATTTGTTTTTTTGATTCAAAAGTATTTTGCCTGTTACATCAGCAAAAAATGTAAACAAATAAAGCCCAATATGGACGGAGATAGTGAGGAGAAACTTACAGTGAAACAATGGTAGTGCGACTATAAATTGGGATAACTTCTTGGGAAAGCAATTGCAACACATATCGATAACAATGAGCATTTAAAATTGTCTTCTTTGATTCAATAATTCCACATCCAAGAATTCATCATAGGAAATACAAAAATAATAATAATAAAGGGAAACTTCTTTGTGTAAAGATTTTCTTTGTAGCCTTTTTTGTCATGGAAAACAAGAGGAAACAAACTAAATTTCAAGCAAATAAGGGAATATTTAAGCACACCATTACATGCTTGGGTGATGCTTAGATTAAGTTCTTATAATGTTAAATGAATAAAAATGGATTCAAAATACATATTCTGTGTGATCACATCGTTGTAACAAAAAACTTAAGCATTAAAAAGGCCTAGAAGGAAATAGAACAAAATTTTCAACAATAATGGGTAGAAGAAAACCAGAAGATGCTTTGGACAGAAGAACTGTATGAACTTTTGCCCTTATTTGCATTCCTAATACCTTATAGGTAGATGACATTCAGTATATACTAAATGAATTTTTAAAAGTGTTATACCTTAGCTCCTAATTAACTTAAATATTCTGCTCAACTAACTTTCCAATTAATAAAAACTTTACCTTAATTAGCCCTGCAAAATAATTTTAAAATATTTTTTCCAGTCGTTTATTCTTATTTTTCCATCCAGCTCTCTGTAAGATCATAGATATTCAGAAACTAGCACATTTGGCATTTGGTCAAATAGCAAAAGCTTAGATTTAGCCATTGAGTGTCACAAGTCGCAACATCAAAGGAATTTTCCAACATTGCTCCCCACATACAGCCTGGCCCATGTCATTTGATCCTCAAGAATGCCGAGCAGCAGAGCGGGAGCACTGGGTGATGAATGCCCATGGCAGGGGAGCCAATGTACACAATTCCATCAGCGGGAGAATGGGTGCAAGACCGACAAGCAAGGGGTGGCACCCTCTAGGTGTGGACAGCAGTTTTCAGAGAAAGCTTGTCAGCAGATCCTGGTGAATTTTATGTAAGGAGGAGGATACAATAAATAAAACCTCATTAATTTACAGAAACAGAATAAAGCATCCAAAATAGGCAACTACATGGATATTTGGTTCCCCAACCCGTACTGGAAGTAACCTTTATTGCCTTCAGATGAAAGCCAACTTTAGTGGTTTCTTTTGTGATAATACTATAAAATACCATTTTGTGTTTCCAGCATGTCCTACAGGCCTCCGTATGGCTCGCTTGTGAGCAGAGTGCCATACTCAGCACACAGTGTAGTTGTCCACCTGAGAAATAGAAGATAGTCTGTGTTGGGGCAACCCACAGAGAAAACAAATTTTGCAGAAAAGGAATGATATCTCTGTGGCAGCAATTAAGTTGGTTCTTGAATTTCAGATAGTAGCGTTTCCTCACATCTGAGTTCACTTAAAGAGCAAAAGACCAAACATGCACCTCAATTACAGGGAATTGAAAGCCCCTTGAAGGCTCACGGAATCACAGAAGGTGGGAAATGAAATGTAGTTTAAGAATCTTCTAATACTCCACCATACACAAGACACACATTCTTTATAAATAAGGAGACAGTTCAGAGAGGTTAGAAATTTTTCCAAGATCACACAGCCAGTAAATGGCAGTCAAGATTCAGACCCAGGTCTCCTGGCTCTCTGTTGCTCTTGCTTCTCTACTGCTCAAATACCACAGGGCTTGCCAGCTGCCAAACCTCCACCAGTAATGTTCATCAGACATTCATGTAGCAGTGTAGCATGATGGAAAGTGCTTTGGAGTCAGACTGGAGTTTAAATCCTAACTCTGTTACTTACTAGTCTGTGACCTAGGACAAGTCAACTAATCTCTCTGTACCTCAGGCTCATCTATAAAGCAAGATAATAAACCCAACCCCACAGTGTGGTGGTAAGAATTAAATGAGATGACGCAACTCAAGCGCTGAGCAGAAGGTCCGGCATGCCACGGGAAGCAACTCAGTGAACGGCATCTATTGTTACTATCATGCCACTTCCTTGAAGGCAGACCCAAAGCCCTGAACTTTCAGCCTCAGCCTTGAAAGAAGAACGTGGTCCAAACAATTCATCCTTCTTCACAAAAGTTCTATGGATGTCTCTGTCCTCAGCTGTGCCCAACCAGAATAAATCAAATCCAATCTGGACCGTTTAGTGCTTGGCACCATTTTTAATACTAATCTCATCAGTTTTTATTTTCATTTTCTAGTTTACCCAAACAAGCTATTTTCAGAGGCTAGTGACTTGAAGCCAAAGCTGCCAATAAAATAGACATCTTTAAAAACACTAGGATCCTTCTGAAGGAATGTCAATATAAATACATGCGTGATACAGGAACATTTGATAGGAGTTCGGTCATTGGTTTGTATGCCAGCCCAACTGTAAAGTTGCCCAGGACTATTTTGGGGTATTAAAATCTATATGTTCTTAATATCCCAGCCACCCTGCCATCCATTAGGTTTGAATGTCCTTTATGGAATGAACTTGATCCGTTCCTCTTACTTTTGGTCTCTTTCCAGAGAAGCTAATGCGCTGGCATAGCTCTGCCATTTGTCAGCCAGAAGTCTGGTTACACATTTGCTCGTCAATCTAAACCTAACCTATTCTCATATGAGCACTTGGGGTTTCATGTAGATCAACCAGACGTTCTGTCATTCACCAGCAATATCGCTCCATAGTATTCTACACCCATGTGCCTTCATGGAGTATTTCACTATGTTTGTGGAAGAGATATTCAAATGAATGTGCTTTTTCAAGAATGGTGACACCAGAATGTTATAATTCTGTTCATTACCACAACAAGGATAAATGGTATTTCTGCCAAAGACTTTTGATAACGGGTGCAGTAATGCATCTCAGCACTTTCTGAAATTAAAGGTCTGTCCTGAGAGGTAAGTAGTATAATGCATGACTAACAAACCCAAACCCAAATTTCGGAGCTGTTTTCCTTGTCAGTGTAATTGATCGTTTCTGGCAGACGCTGCCTTAGGAAGTTCATAATGTTATTTCTATTCTCTTGATATTAACGTCCAGGTGAGGCTGACCCATGGTTTGTAAAAGGGCAGATTCTTATTAACTTAGCATGCTTTATTGTGATTTTTTTTACATTTGAATTCACACATGCTTTTAACAGCCGTACTTCAAAAATCTCTATGGTTTAAGGTAAATATTTCGTAGAATTATTAGTTCATCATTCAGTAAAATATTTTAACATTCAGTTGAATAGTCTCTTAAAAAGCTTTTAAAGATATTTCTGATTATAGGGATTAATTGTTACAAATTTTTTTTAAAAATAGGTTATGTGGCTCTAGCCTTCATTAGCTCTTCTGGCATTTTCAAGAGGCACAAAGGAACTAAGGATCTGGGAATTTAAACAAGAAGAATAAATATCAGTTCTCATTGACATGTGCATGACATTGGGCCAGTTAACTTCAGTGGTTCTGGATTGTAAAATGGTGTTTCTATGTGGACCTAATTCGTGAGAACTATGGAGAAAGTGAAGAGGGGAAGGCTTCCAATCTAGGATATCTACAAAGAGCACATTTTATTCCTACAAGTGTCTGAAAACTCCTGGTATCATTACTATTCACTTTGATCACTGGAAGTATTACTTACCAGTGCTGAAAAAAAAATTCCAATGTCTGTGAAAGGTTATTCATCCAAAGAATGTGTCCTCTAAAATTAAAGACTCACAGATAGAGCTGTATCGTATTGGCTTTCAAAATGCCTAAAATGGACAGAATATAGATTCTGGTCAGAGAGTAATGGTTTTCCTTCACTGTTCTGGATTCTGAACAGGCTCAGCAGATCATAGTTTGAAATGCTTTTTAGTACTGGTTTTCAAACATAAAGTCACTTGGTCATAGTCTAAACATCAGTGTCTACCTAAGTAAAATTCTGTGCATTAGTGAAATGCAGAAATGCCTTCCTCCTCAGCACTCTCTCTTCATTCCTGTTTATTCTCACGGTAGCCTTTTTCTTCTATCTGACTTACTCCCTCTAGTGTTTCCTGGATGAAGTACAGGAACTAAAGCTCAATTTACAAACAAACAAAAAACATTATTGCAGTCTCTCAATATTTTCCCCATTACCATACACTAAAGCAAACTTACCACCAGATGTTTTGACGTGAACTCTAAGTGATTGCAAGCACTTTTTATCTGCGAGTCTCAAACTCAGATTCTTGTATTCCAGCTTCAGATCCCAAAACGGGGCATTGCCTTCTAATCTGTTAGGGTTAGATTCCTGCTCTGCCTTTGAATCCTTATATCTATTTTACTTTTATTGTGATATTCAGAAGGGGAAAAGAGTCTCTAAGGAACTAGAGCGTGCAAGCAGGCATTTCTTTGACATATTTTCCAGGGGTAGAACTTAACACTGATTCTTCTAATTTACCCAAAAGGTTCAAGGTATTTGACTGAGGAGAAAAGTGATTAATTTTTTTTAAATGGCCTTATGGAAACCATGGGCATATTTTCACCACAGAAGCCCTTAGTCAAACCAGGAAGAGTAGCTCCTTGGGAAATGCATTGCTTATGAGCACTTTTTCTTTACAGAGAAGAAAATACACTTCCAAAGCTGTCAGCTGCCGTTGCCGCTCCTTTGGAAACCAGCCACAGCTGATTGTGAGAGCTAACTATAGGCCAAGGTCATCTGGGGATCCACCCTGCCTGCTTACAGGGATGGCATCCACACCTTACCAGAGCACTTGGGCTTGCCGCTCCAGCCAGTCCAGCCCAGAGAGCTATTTTCAGTTGGAGTTCCCACAAGAAGGCCCTTGACTGTCCTTCATGCTGCTGACATTCAGTTTTATACTTAACCATTCTGAACTATAATCTGATGTATACACTGACTTCTTCTCTCCTTCACAACTTCCTACCTTTTTTGAGATCCCCATAGGAGGTTGATAGATAGGTCAAATTATATTAAAGCTGATCTTTTGTTAGACACCACAAAGCTCACCCACACATACAGCTCTACCACGTCAAATTACCTCAACCAAGTGCCTGAGCAGGAAACCTCAGGCGTATTTAGCTTCCTTCTTGGCTACAGTCATCCACCAACCTCCAATCATTGCCAGGCCTTATGCGTTCCCCTTCCTAAGGATCTGTTGTTGCTCCTCTCCTCTTCCATGTCTGCTGTCATTACATTTCATCCTCTTTTGCCTAGCCTGCTGTAATAACTTCCCAACCAATCTCCCAGCCTTCAATTCACCAACATTCTACCATCAGTTATATTTCAAAGTTATAAATCAGAATGCAGCACTCTTCTGTTTAAAATCTTTCCATAGCCACTGTTCACTCTTAGTTCTTGTATCATTTATATTATTGATTTTTGTGGTCCCAATATCTAGGGCCATACTTAAAGCAGTAAAAAAATTTTTTTGTATTAATTAATAAAATTATAAATCTCATTAAAAAATCAGCCAGTTGCATCTAAGAAAGTATATTCTAATCCACGTCCTGTCTTAACCTATGCCCTTCACGAAACAGAACTTGACTTACTTGGCTCCAAGCGGGGTTGTTGTCTAAGAACCAATATCTGCACTTCAGGATAACTGATGCTTCTACCAGAATATGAACTAGAAAAGTCTTGGGAACCAGGGAATTAGGTCAGAGAAAAAGAAGCAGGAGCAAGGATGTACTGGGGGTGGCCCTTGCTGCCCAATATGTATGGTCCAATTCTGGAAGACTTCGGAACCAAAGGGACTGTTCAAATTGAGACAGACCCCATTCATGGTTCATACATATTGTACGCCTCTAGGACATCTCTTCTCTCACTTACATCCCTATACTCTCTGCTCTTCTATGAAAATTCCCAGCTTGGATCTAGGCTTAACCTGGTAATCTTGACTTCAAGATCAATTATTAGCACAGTTCCTACCTTTCTCTTTCTAGGTTAGTCATTTCCCCCCATAGAGTTTTCCCCAAGAAAAATACTTCTTCAAGATGCTGCCGAAATTTAATTAATCTATGCCTACATTAGGTGACGTTCAGGAGCCACAGTCTGTGACCCACAGTCTTCTCTGCACCTCCTATCACACCAAGTATCAACCCTGCTTAAGTTCTGCTCATACCTCTTGCAGATGTTGATCTCTCACCAGCTGTGAAAAATTGACTCCCAGAAAAATATTTTGACCATGAAATTCTTCTCCAATCTGGCTAGCCTCCATATCTAAACTTCTCTTACTCTTCATCTATATAAACTCTCTATTTTTTCATTATCTCATTAAAAAAAAGTTACTGAGCATTTAAGTGCCAGACCTGGGATGGAGGCAGTGAATAAGACAAACACAGTCCTTTCCCCCAAAAGCTTGTAATCTAGCTCTCTCTCCATTGTCCATGGAATCTGACCTATATATAGGAATCTGTTTGTATGCATCAAATATGCTCCCACCTGCCATCCCTCTGGGCGTGTCTGAATTCTTATAATTCATCAAGGCTTCATTCAAGTCTTTTGCCAATGTCTGGTGTTGTCTCTCTCTTAGAGCAGGGGGTATTATGAACTGGCTAAAGGACGATATCTAAGCATGCTGTGTAGGGAACCAGTGCTGATTTTAAGGAGGCTTCCTTGCAATCTCCAAGGACTTTGTCAATCCTATAATTTGTATCAGTTGGAGGTGTTGATATACATAGAAAGGGCATGCTGACTCCTTGTGTGAACAACACGAAGCTGGATGGGTAAGAAAAATATCCAACCACAGAATCAAGATGTATTACTTATCTCTTGCTACATAGCAAATCACACCAAAAATGAGTGGCTTAAAACAACAAACATTTATTATCTCACAGTTTCTTTAGTTCAGAAATCCAGAAACAGGGCCAGTCCCGGTGGCCTAGCACGCTCCACTTCAGTCACCTGGATTCAGTTCCCAAGTGTGCACCTACACCGCTCTGTTAGCAGCCATGCTGTGCTGGCAGCCCACACACTAAAAAATAGAGGAAGATCGGCATGGATGTTAGCTCAGGGAGAATCTTCCTCTGCAAAAAAAAAAAAAGAGAGAGAAACCCAGAAACAGCTTAGCTGGGGTATTTCTGGCTCAGAGTCTCTCACGTAGTTGGAGTCAAGATACGGGTCAGGGCTGCAGTCATCTGAAGGCTTGACTGGGGCTGGAGGATCTGCTTCCAATCTGGTTCACTCACATGGCTGTGGGCAGGGAGCCTCAGTTCTGCACCATATGAGCCTATCCATATGCTGCATGAGTGTCCTCAAGACGTGGCAGCAACCTTCCCCCAGAAAGAGCAACCCAAGAGAGAGAAGAAAGTCACAGTACCTTTTATGACCTAGTCTCTGAATTCGCACAGCATCACTTTCACTCTATGCTATTTGTTATAAACAAGTCACTAGGTCCAGCCTGTACTCAAGGGAGGGGAATTAGGCTTCACCCCTTGAAGGGAGGAGTTTCGAAAATTTTGTGAACATATTTTAAAACCACTCAAGCTACTAAAGAATCTTGAAGATTGGAGCTGTGGCCTAAATCTAATTCTAGGATGTGAAAAATATAATTTTGCAACAGACTGAATGAAAATTCTGAGGAGTTTTAGTCAACAGATTTCAATATAGGCATGTTCCAAAAGTCAGCATGATCCTAGGCTACAGGAAGAACCAGGTCCATCTGGGATGAGGAAGTGAGTCATGGCTGTTTTACTGTGTCAGGGTCAGACCCCAGTAGAGAGCTGTTTGGGGTGCCACATGAAGGGACACCCTGGGGCTCATGTAGAGGACAGCAAATATGGTGGTCAAGAAATTTGAAATCATGTCTTATGAAAGGTTGTTGTAGGAACAAGAGAAGTTGAGGCCAGAGAAGACTTAGGAATGCTGTGGTCATTATCTTCAAGAATATGAAGGATTTTCACATACAGAGATAGACTTGTTCTGCTTGCCCTGTGCT